TACACAAAGGCTCAAAATAAAGGGAAGGAGGAAGATTTACCAAGGAAATGGAGAGCAATAAAAAGGAGTTGCAATTCTCATCTCTGATAAAATAGACTTTAAAGCAACAAAGATCAAAAGAGACAAAGAAGGCCATTACATAATGGTAAAAGGATCGATACAACAAGAAGAGCTAATGATCCTAAGTATATACAGATCCAGTACAGGAGCACCCAGATCCATAAGGCAAGTTCTTAATGACTTACAAAGAGACTTAGACTCCCACACAATAATAGTGGGAGACTTTAACACTCCATTGTCAATATTAGACAGGTGAACCAGACAGAAAATTAACAAGGATATCCAGGACTTGAACTCAGACCTGGAACAAGCAAACCTAATAGACATTTACAGAACTCTCCACCCCAAATCCACAGAATATACATTCTTCTCAGCACCACATCACACCTACTCTAAAATTGACCACATAATCACTCCTCAGCAAATGCAAAAGAATGGAAATCATAACAAACAGTCGCTCAGACCACAGTGCAATCAAGTTAGAATTCAGAATTCAGAAACTAACTCAGAACTGCACAGCTTCATGGAAACTGAACAACTGGCTCTTGAATGTTGACTGGATAAACAATGAAATGAAGGCAGAAATAAAGAAGTTCTTCGAAACCAACGAGAACGAAGACACAACATACCAGAATCTCTGGGACACGTTTAAAGCAGTCTCTAGAGGAAAATATATAGCAATAAGTGCCCACATGAGAAAAAAGGAGAGATCCAAAATTGACACCCTATTGTCAAATCTGAAAGAGCTAGAGGAGCAAGATCGAAAAAAACTCAAAACCTAGCAGAAGACAAGAAATAACTAAGATCAGAGCAGAACTGAAGAAGATAGAGGCACATAAAACCCTTCAAAAAAATCAATAAATCCAGGAGCTGGTTTTTCAAAAAGACCAACAAAATAGACGGACCACTAGCCAGATTAATAAAAAAGAAAAGAGAGAATAATCAAATAGATGCAATAAAAAACTATTAAGGGGAAATCACCACAGATTCCACAGAAATTCAAACCATCATCAGAGAATATTACCAACAACTCTATGCACATAAACTAGTGAACCTGGAAGAAATGGATAACTTCCTGGTCAGTTGCGTCCTCCCAAGCCTAAACCAGGAAGAAGTAGAAACCATGAATAGACCAATAACAAGTTGAGGCAGCAATTAAGAGCCTACCGCACACAAAAAAGCCCAGGTCCAGATGGGTTCACAGCCGAATTCTACCAGACACACACACAAAACACTGTTACTGTTCCTTCTGAAACTATTCCAAATAATCCAAAAAGAGGGAATCCTTCCCAAATCATTTTATGAGACCAACATCATCCTAATTCCATAACCCAGCAGACACTCAACAAGAAAAGAAAACTTCAGGCCAATATCCATGATGAACATAGACACAAAAATCTTCAATAAAATATTGGCAAGCCGATTGCAACAGCACATCAAAAAGCTTATCCACCATGATCAAGTAGGATTCATCCTAGGGATGCAAGGCTGGTTCAACATACACAAGTCTATAAATGTAATTCACCACATAAACAGAACCAAAGACCAAAGGCAGAGAAGGCCTTTGACAAAATTCAACAGCCCTTTATGCTAAAAACCCTCAATAAACTTGGTATTGATGGAATGTATCTCAAAATAATAAAAGCTATTTACGACAAACCAACAGCCAACATCATACTGAATGGGCAAAAACTGGAAGCATTCCCTTTGAAATCTGGCACTAGACAAGGATGCCCTCTCTCACCACTCCTATTCAATATAGTACTGGAAGTTCTAGCCAGAGCAATCAGGCAAGAAAAAAAATAAAGGGTATTCAAATAGGAAAGGAGGAAGCCAAATTGTCTCTATTTGCAGATGACATGATAGTATATCTAGAAGACCCCATCATCTCAGCCCAAAATCTCCTGAAACTGATAAGCAACTTCAGCAAAGTCTCAGGATACAAAATCGATGTGCAGAAATCACAAGCATTCCTATACACCAATAACAGACTTAAAGAGAGCCAAATCAAGAACGAACTGCCATTCACAATTGCTACAAAGAGAATAAAATACCTAGGAATACAACTAACAAGGAACGTAAAGGACCTCTTCAAGGAGAACTACAAACCACTGCTCAACGAAATAAGAGAGGACACAAACAGATGGAGAAACATTCCATGTTCATGGTTAGGAAGAATCAATATCGTGAAAATGGCCATACTGCCCAAAGTAATTTACAGAATCAACGCTATCCCCATCAAGCTACCATTGACTTTCTTCACAGAACTGGAAAAAACCACCATGAACTTCATATGGAACCAAAAGAGAGCCCGCATAGCTAAGTCAATTCTAAGCAAAACAGAACACAGCAGGAGGCATCACACTACTGGACTTCAAACTATACTACAAGGCTACAGTAATCAAAACAGCATGGTACCGGTACCAAAACAGAGATATAGACCAATGGAACAGAACAGAGGCCTCTGAGGCAACATAACATATCTACAACCGTCTGATCTTTGACAAACCTGACAAAAACAAGCAATGGGAAAAGGATTCCCTGTTTAATAAATGGTGTTGGGAAAACTGGCTAGCCACGTGCAGAAAGCAGAAACTGGACCCCTTCCTGACACCTTACACTAAAATTAACTCCACATGGATTAAAGACTTAAACATAAGACCTAACACCATAAAAACCCTAGAAGAAAATCTAGGCAAAACCATTCAGGACATAGGAGTAGGCAAGGACTTCATGGCCAAAACACCAAAAGCATTGGCAACAAAAGCCAAAATAGACAAATGGGACCTAATCAAACTCCACAGCATCTGCACAGCAAAAGAAACAGTCAGTAGAGTGAATTGGCAACCAATAGAATGGGAAAAAATTTTTGCAGTTTACCCATCTGACAAAGGGCTGATATCCAGACTTTACAAAGAAATAAAACAGATTTACAAGAAAAAAAAAAACCAAACAAGCCCATTCAAAAATGGGCAAAGGATATGAAGACATACATGAGGCTAACAAACATATGAAAAAATGTTCATCATCACTGGTCATTAGAGAAATGCAAATCAAAACTACATTGAGATACCATCTCATGCCAGTTAGAATGGCAATCATTAAAAAATCTGGAGACAATAGATGCTGGAGAGGATGGGGAGAAACAGGAACACTTTTATACTGCTGGTGGGAGTGAAAATTAGTTCAACCATTGTGGAAGACAGTGTGGCAATTCCTCAAGGACCTAGAAATAGAAATTCCATTTGACCCAGCAATCCCATTACTGGGTATATATCCAAGGGACTATAAATCGTTCTACTATAAGGACACATGCACACGAATGTTCATTGCAGCACTGTTTACAATAGCAAAGACCTGGAACCAACCCAAATGCCCATCGATGATAGACTAGACAGGGAAAATGTGGCACATATACACCATGGAATATTATGCAGCAATAAAAAATGATGAGTTCGTGTCCTTTGCAGGGACATGGATGAACCTGGAGACCATCATTCTCAGCAAACTGACACAAGAACAGAAAATGAAATACCGCATGTTCTCACTCATAGGCGGGTGTTGAACAATGAGAACACATGGACACAGGGAGGGGAGTGACAGTGGAAGGTGGGGAGTTGGGGAGAGAGAGCATGGGGAGAAATGCCAGATACAGGTGAAGGGGAGCAAGGCAGCAAATCACACTGCCACATGTGTACCTATGTAAATATCTTGCATGTTGTTCACATGTACCCCAAAACCTAAAAGGCAATAAAAAAATTCCAATGATCTAGAAAGGCATGCTTTTTAGCTCAAAGGAAGTGTTGGCCACCTGACGTCATTCACAATAGTAGCCTGACTTTAAAACTGGAGCAGGGCTGGGTGAGGTGGCTCACACCTGTCATCCCGGGACTTTGGGAGGCGGAGGCCAGTAGATCACCTGAGGTCAGGAGTTTGAGACCAGCCTGGCCAACATGATGGAACCTGTCTTTACTAAAAACATAAAAATTAGATGTGTGTGGTGGTTGGCATCTGTAATCCCAGGTACTTGGGAGGCTGAGCCAGAAGACTCACTTGAACCCAGGAGGCAAAGGTTGCAGTGAGCTGAAATCATGACACTGTAATCCAGCCTGGGCTATAAGAGTGAAGCTCTGTCTCAAAACAAGAACAATAACAACAAAAAACAAATAAAACCAGAGCAGGCAGAAGCATCAGCCCTGTCTGCAGACGGCCAAGTTACGGCACACAGCAGTACACGGACGTCCCTCTGGATCACTATTTGTAATTCTGCAGCCTGTCCCCAGGACGTGGAATCTGTTTGCACCTCTGCAGTGGTACAGACTCCTGGGGCACTCGGGATAGGTGACAGGGGAGCTCCTGCAGGATGCAGGGGCCTGGGAAAGAAGTCACTTGGCAAGTTGGCTGCCACGGGTGCTGTGCGCAACTCTGAAGTCACCTTGATGACTTAAAGTTGTTGACACAATGGCTACACATCCCCCACGCCTCAGGGGCTCAGATAACAAACCACAATACCACACAGAAAAAGGAAAACTACTACCATGGTGCTAACAGGATGAAAGTCACCTACCAAATGAATGAATGGACAGGCACAAAAGAGAGAATTCAGAGCCGGGAGATGGGAGCAGGGACCTCAACTGTTTAGAAACAAGTACAAACAGAAATAAGCTAAACCTTCCTACCCTTCAGTCCTCCAAACATGCCTAATCTTCCATCTAGACATATAACATCTGTCATCCATGCACAAAAAAAAAGGACGTGGTTTATACTGGCATGGGAAAAAGAGCGAGACCACAAGGACACTGTAGAAAGTGGTGCTTTCCTGGTCTCACAGTGGACTAAAGTGAGCAACAACCTTCTGGGTCAATAACTTTGGCATTCAGTTTCCCACAACAAAGAAGGCCTTTGAGCACCCCTAAAGTACAGCAGCTAGAGCCACTCACCTGAATGTGAAGAGGGTCCCCATGTCCAGCATTGACAGCAACTCCGCTTTTGACTTGGGGAAAGAGAGCCGGTAGCGCAGTGTCTCGAATGCAGGCACAATCATTGCTTTCTTGGTGTTGGCAAGGTCGAGCTGGATGACAGACTTCCTGAAAAGTGGGAAGAGGCAGAGAGACAGAGACTTTGTGACACCAGGCCAGGGTCTTCCCCCTTGAGGGCAGGGTGGTCATTAGCCCAGGGAGGCAAGGAAGAAAAAGCTCAAGTCAGCCTCTCAATTAAAGATGGGGAAACTGGGCTGGGTACGATGACTCACATCTGTAATCCCAGCCTTTGGGAGGTGGAGGTGGGCAGATCACTTGAGGTTAGGAGTTCGAGACCAGCCTGGCCAACATGGTGAAACCCTGACTCCATTACTTGGGAGGCTGAGGCATGGGAATTGCTTGAGCCTGGAAGGCAGAGGTTGCCATGAGCTGGGATCATGCCACTGCACTCCAGCCTGGGCGACAGAGATAGATTCTGTCTCAAAAAAAAAATAAATGAATAAACAAACAAAGGAAAAAAAAGATGGGGAAACTGGAGTCCTGGGAGCCCAAAGCAGCTTGGCAAACACCACCTGGGGAACCCAGATTGGAGTGGGATTAAGACAGAGAGCTCAACCTTCCTGGACAATACACAGAAGGCAAAACAGATTGAGGGGCTTGGAGAACCTCCCACACGTTTTCAGTGTGTGCCCCTGACTCTGGCACAGAAGGAAGGTCTTCAAGGACACAGGGGTTAGAGCCCAGCCTGCTTGGTTCTCTGGGCTGGTCAATCACTCCTATTGTACCACTGGCCACACCAGAGCAGGTGACAGAGAGCAGGTAGGCAGAGACACCCTATGCAGCCAGCGCTAGTAAGATAGAGCTCTGGTATACCACTTGGGGAAAGTTCTCCAAAGTCGTGCCTTGGTGCCTGGCCTTCCACTCTGCTCCTCTGAGATCCAATTCAGCATGTCTGGGTTTGTCTGCCATTTCCCAGCTCTGCGGCTGTCACTTAGGGAGAAAGGCTCATGGAGGGCCATACATGGCCCAGCATCTAGTGCCATATGGCATAAGGCTTTTAATGAACACAGGCTGGATTTGGACCCTGGCAGGGTCACTTTATGAGTCCTGCCATCCTGGGAAAGCGATTTACCTCCTCCCTATCTCTGGTCCTTGTCCCTAAAATGATGGCAATAACATCTACCTCCTGGAACAAGGTAATAGAATACCACTTGGCATACCTGTCCAGGGGCAGGCATGCTGTGACAAGTGGTCACTATAATACTGCACTGCTATCATGGCTCCCTGGCTTGGATCTTCTGTGATCTATTTTGGCCAGGACCTAGGAATTCATTCTGACCTCCTGCTTCGACACTGACCTTTGGGTTTCAAGGTCATCATGGGCTGTCTGTTTCTATCTCTGAAACAGAGAAAGCAGCCTTTCTTGGGAAAACGTAGGCACTGTAAGGCATTTTGAAAAACAAAGCAGCAGCCCTCTGTGACCATAAAACTGTCCATTGAAGGCCCAGTGCAGTGGCTCACACCTATAATCCCAGCACTTTGGGAGGCTGGGCGGGGCAGATCACGAGGTCTGGAGTTCAAGATTAGCTTGGCCAATATGGTGAAACCGCTTCTTCTACTAAAAATACAAAAATTAGTTGGGCATGGTGGCACGTGCCTGTAGCCCAGCTACTCGGGATGCTGACGCAGAAGAATCGCTTGAACCCAGGAGGCAGAGGTTGCAGTGAGCCGAGGTTGTGCCACTGCACTCCAGCCTGGGCGCCACAGTGGGACTCCATCTCAAACCACCCTGTGTGCTCCCTGCCCCTCCACCCCCACCAAAACAAAGAAACAAAAAACTCGCTATTGCTGCATTATGAAAGTCACTCCACTCAACCAAATTTTGAGCCTGTGCATGAGCAGAAACCAGAGCTGGCGTGCAAAGAGGAATCATACCATAAGAAAGTAACTGAGTTAGCGTAGGCCTATATGGGACAAAACGGAGTGGCAGTCCGAGAAGGACACAGGACATCAGAAGGGCTTCGTATTATTCAATGATGAGGGGGAACCTGGACCAGGTCAGAATAAGGACAGTTTTGAATAAGGACAGTTTACTAAAACCATCCTTGGCTAATGGATCTCACCAGCTCCCAGTAGAGAGAGGTTGGTTGGGATGGGCTGGAAGTTCCTTTTGGAACTCCCTGATTATCATTTGCAGTTCACTCTTTATCATAGTGCTCATGCTGACTATATCCCAAATAACATATAGTTCTCACACCACTATTCCAGAGGAGGTTTGTAAAGGATGACAGCAAGATAGAGTGTGAGTGAGCTATACTTAGTGAGTTTGAGTCAGCCTGTCCTGGCCTGGATTCTTAGCTTTGTCTGCCTCAACAATGTTAGTTTTCAAATATCCAAGATTCCCTCTTCTGTGGCCAGGCATCTAGTGTCAGCTAGCACTCCCTTTTATATCAATCCCTTATTAGATACGGGCAGAGCTAGGCTCTTTACCTTTCCCTCTGGAAAGATGGGTACCTTATCTATTGATTCTGGGTATTGGGGGTGGGACATATAGATCTAAAGAATATCCTTGCACCAAGACAGCAAAGCCCTTGGAATCCCTGGGGCAGGGGGGAAGGTGTGCCAGTACTGGTGGGTGGTTGCTACTTACTCACCAGTCACCCAGCACCTATGATATGCTAGGCACATGAAGATACAGGGTGAAAAGAACAACCATAGTCTCTGCCCACATGGTGCTTACATTCTTATAAATGTCTCAGGACAAGGCTGTCTACACTGGGGCCCCAGACTGCATTTATAGGTGATTATTTTAGAATTCAGTGCTATAGAAACTGAGAAGGCTGAGAGGGCTGAGCTGTAAAGGGAATGGGCAAAATGAAAAGACACATACATGTATGTATGCAGGGCATACAGAGATCTAACATGGATGTTTCTATCTATATAAGCCTCAAGTTACTATTATAATCAGTTACTACAGGAGCTGCTGCTTGGAGATTAATTCCTGCTGGAAAACAATTCCCCTTTCTATGGGGGCAACCTGCTCCTTTACATAGAGGCAGCTCTCAGAGCATTCTGCCTGCCCTAGCTACACCCCTGGCAAGGGTAGGCTGTTTAGAATTAGATACTTGACCCAAGCTGAGCAAATTAGTTTCTTACTCTGGAAATTTGAATAGAAATAGACTGGGGAAGCACAGAATGGACTTGCAGTGATGTCAAACCATGCTCTGACGGCTTCTGAACTGCTGCAGAGGGGCCCAGAGCCGTCCTGGCTAACTGCAGTCTTCTTATGTGTTCATTTTCCAAGTCCTACTTTGATTCTGTAAGATAACCCATCCATTATTTGCTTTGTTTTTGTTTTTATTTTACTTAAGCTCCCTGTTATTAGTTTCCGTTGCCTGCAACTAAACAACTCTTACCAATATATGTCAGGACCCAGAGCAGACAGACCCTGTAAGCAGCATGCCTCACAAATGCAGTCCTAGGAAGCCTTATTTACCTCTGCAAATTCTCTTTAATCTCACTAAAATACAAACTGCTGCCAAGATAGATCTGTCACCAGACAGATCCATGTCAGACTCCGTTCAAGGAAGTTTCAATACTGATGTCCTGAAACGGTCTCATTATGAAGTGGTTTCACAGTGAAGTGGCTTCATCGTACAAACTCTGAGCACATCTGTTTATGAAGAAGGTAATGGCAGCCTGGGTCTTGCTGCTCAGTGTTCTGTTAGTACATCTTGCCCTGGATGGGGCTTGCTGTCCTAGGGGTCAACAATTTGCAGCCAATAGTTCTCTGGAAAGTAAGTCCTGCAAAGGATAGGGTGCAGAATCTTCCAGAACAGTGGGGCCGATGAGCCAGAAAGCTGGCAAGGAGCCAGGAGACCTGTTTTAGGCCCACGCTGAGAAGCTGAGTGACTTTGGGTCACTGTTACTCTTTTAGATTGCTAAATTTAGACTATTAAGATGGAAGCTTTGCAAGACAGTCTGGTGTAGTGGTAATCAGACCAGACATCTAGCTCTGACTTTACTAGGCTGTCTTTCTGGGCAAATCACTCTCACTACTTTAAGTCCTGGCATTGATGTACTTGTAAAATATGTTGATGAGGAAAAGCAGAGTGCTTGTGGAAGGGCTTGCACAGTGCCTGGCACTGGGTACATGCTGCCTATGATAGTTACTTTTATGTATCAGGTGGGCCAGGCTATGGTGCCCAGTTGGTCACACACTAGTCTAGCCATCGCTGTGCAAGTGTTTTATAGATGTATTGCAGTCACTTCTGCATCAATCTAATAATTAACAAGTACAGTCAGTTAATTTTAAGGAAAGGAGATTTCCCTTGATAATATGGGTGGGCCTCATCTAATCAGTTGAAGACCACAAGAGCAAACACTGAGCTTTCCCAGAAAAGATGGAATACTGCCTTAGGACAATAACATAGGAATCCTGCCTCAGTTTCCAGCCTGCAGGCCTGCTCTGTGAATTTCAGACTTGCCAACTCCACAACTGTGTGAGCCAATTCCTTAAGCTGTATTGATCTAGCAACACATATATCACTATCTCTCCATATTGATTATATATATTAATGTCTATAAAATATACTAGGTGTCTCTCTCCTATTGGCTCTGTGTCTCTGGAGACCCCGGAGGACTGCACTCGTAAGGCATGCTGCTTACTGGATCTGTCTACTCTGGGTCTTGTAATACGTTGCTTAGGGTTGTTTAGTTGCAAGAAACAGAAATTAATACCAGGTAGCTTACCTAAAATAAAACATGTCCTGATTCTGACCTGGTCCACATTCCTCCTCATCATTCAATGATACCAAGCTCTGCTGATGTTCTTCTTGGACTGCCACTCTGTTCTTGTCCAGCACGTGGGCCTGAGCTGACACACTTACTTCCTTATGGTGTGATTCCTCTTTGCAGACCAGCTGTAGTCCTTGCACAGGTTTGGTTCAAAGTTTTGTTGCCCTTGTCTTGTCAAGACACCTGCAAAAATGCTCACTAACCTACCACACTATATTGGTATTGGACCAAGGAATTCTTTAAATAATCCAGAACCTTGCTGATACAATGGAAAGCCCTGTGAACATAAGTGACTTGGAGCCAGACAGCAG